TTATTTTGTTTTTATATTTTTGAATTTCTATATATTTTTAACTGGTGGCCACAGCTTAAAGTTTTATTCTAAACTTATTTTGGCCTTCTTCCACACACTTATTCTGTAATGTACTATTATTCTTAGTTGGTTTTACTATTAAGCTTTTGTTATGTATGTTAATATGTTCATGTGTGTGGAGAAATAAATTAAACAAACAAACAAACAAACTTATTATAATTGTTTTTCACTATTGATATCATTACTATTATTATATTGTAATATTGTTTGTATTGTTCACAGGTTTAATAGCATATTGTATTTGCTTTGGAATTCTGTTGAGCCAGATGGGACCACAGGCAGAAACAATGGTTAATTTCTTCAGTATTTTGAATGATATCACCATGAAGATGGTGTTTCTTGTCATGTGGTAAGCAATAATTAGAAGTCAAATAAATTTATGTAAATAAACTAATATTAAATATTATTAAGTTATTTCATGTAATCTCAAAAAATCATATGTGAACCATAAATACTGTATCTTATTTAAAAATTATCATCTGATTAGTAAATTCCAAAGAAGTAAAGAATGAAATACAGATATACAGATATTTTATTTTAATTAATAGAGTAAATTGTAGCCATTTTGAAGGTATGCAAAAGAATAGGAATTTATGGAATTTGTACAGCTGCCACTATTCTAATTTTCAAGTTGAAACACAATCACTTACTTACACATTATTGAAAAAGAGCTTGTGAATATCTGCCCGTGTTCTGCTCAATTTACTGCATCTGTGTCACATTTATAGATTTGTAGAATTCATTGAGTTTTCTTGAATTTTTACAATCATAATTTTTATTAATTTATTTGTTGATAATAAATTTGTTATATTTTTGTTAATTATGACACTGAGTAGGGATTCTGAGGTGATATTCCTATCAGGAAGAACCTTGGCTAGGTCTGTTCTACAAAATGCCTTCCCACAAATATTTGAAAGTGCATTAACTTGTACATATTGGACTAAACAGTGATCACATAGGTAACTCGGTCATTGCAGAGGCATGATTGTATTATGAATATGTTTTATTTGTCTTAAGATTTCAAACATTGATACTGATGTTAAAATTGATGAGGAAAGTCCTATGAGGGTAAAGAGCTGTAAGCACCTTGGTGTAATTATTGATGAAAACCTAACATTGGAAAATCATGCTGATCATAAGGCTAAGGTTTTGCCAGGCTTGTATCTGTTTTATTCTCTCAAAAAATTAAAAGTAACATATACAAAACTATCATAGCTCCACATTTTGACTACTGCAGTGTCGTTTGGAGTTATTCAATGAATAAAAAATATTTTGATAAAATCCAAATCCTGCGCGATGTGACTCCAGCACTCAAGCCTTGCAAATGATCCATCATATATTTCTGACCGCTTTTACATAAGAGAAAATAGTTACAACACCAGACTTGCCAATGATATCAACTTCGATTTTCCAAAGGTAAGCAGAGAGTGTAAGAAAAATAGCCTCTCATATCATGGTACTAATGACCTTTCAGATGAACTTAAATGTTCTTCCAATTTACATATTTTCAAGCAAAGTCTTCTTAATAACTTCTAGATTTCATTCATTGTCATTCCTGAAACTTATAAATACCGGGTTGGTGTCCAGCAGGGATGGTTTCACTAATAGTTAAGATGCTGTGTTTCTGTTGTTTTTTCATTTTGTTTTCATAATTTTGTTTCTACTTACAGTATGTATGGCCTTGCTCGGCCTTTATGAAAAACACCCATGGGTGACTCAAGTGTCTCAGTGTTTAAATAAAATATATTAATATAATTAAGCTTTATTATCATTATACCTTTATTATTATTGTACTTTTATAATTAATTCTTCACAGGTATTCTCCAATCGGTATTCTTTCCCTCATCTGTGCCAAGATATTGGCCATGGACGATCTAGGTCTTGTGTTCTCACAGCTCGGCCTCTACATGATAACAGTCCTCCTTGGCCTCTTGATCCACACTGGCGTCCTCATGACCATATATTTTGTGTTCACAAGGAAAAACCCGCTGCGATTCTTTCAAGGCATGCTCCAAGCTTGGGTCACTGCTCTTGCAACCTCTTCAAGGTAGGCTCAAGTTCTACGCACATTATCAGTTTTTGTGTGATACTCTGATTTGTTTATTTAGTATGATATGATATATCCATATATGAGCCTTATTTTTGCAAAGTGGCTCTAAAAGTTATAGCAAATATGGTTGAAGTTAAAGCTATTGGTATTTCATATACTTGAGTACTAAATCTTTAAAAACATTTCAAGCCTTAGTTTTTAGGAAGTACAGCAAATCCTAGGTCAAGATAAATTGATTGCTAGGCAAGTTTTTGATTGCATATATTTGACTCATTATTCAATACTGCTCTGTGCAACATTACATCCCTATTATGGATAAATCATAGATATCTGTCGCAGAATAGTTGATAGTGTGACAAAGTTTTAGTTTTAGTTTTTTCTCTATATTTTGATATATATTACTTTTTGAATGTTGTTTATTGTGTACTAACTTTCAATATTTCTAAAATAAGAGAATACAGTAAATAATATTAATTCTTCACAGGTATTCTCCAATCGGTATTCTTTCCCTCATCTGTGCCAAGATATTGGCCATGGACGATCTAGGTCTTGTGTTCTCACAGCTCGGCCTCTACATGATAACAGTCCTCCTTGGCCTCTTGATCCACACTGGCGTCCTCATGACCATATATTTTGTGTTCACAAGGAAAAACCCGCTGCGATTCTTTCAAGGCATGCTCCAAGCTTGGGTCACTGCTCTTGCAACCTCTTCAAGGTAGGCTCAAGTTCTATGCACATTATCAGTTTTTGTGTGATACTCTGATTTGTTTATTTAGTATGATATGATATATCCATATATGAGCCTTATTTTTGCAAAGTGGCTCTAAAAGTTATAGCAAATATGGTTGAAGTTAAAGCTATTGATATTTCATATACTTGAGTATTAAATCTTTAAAAATATTTCAAGCCTTAGTTATTAGGAAGTACAGCAAATCCTAGGTCAAGATAAAGATGATTTTGAGTAATTGCTTCAAAAGTGTATATTCATGAGTACATTTTTTATATAGAATTAGCAACAAAAGATAAAAACATGAAATAACTGGGTTTTTTACCATTTCAAGAACTAAGATTTTGTGACATGATTAATTACATGTTAAACTGTTCATTTATAGTGAAAAAATGATTGCTAGGCATGTTTTTGATTGCATATATTAGACTCATTATTCAATACTGCTCTGTGCAACATTACATCCCTATTATGGATAAATCATAGATATCTGTCGCAGAATAGTTGATAGTGTGACAAAGTTTTAGACTAAATTTCCAATGCTGACGATGATCTCTTTTGATTCAGCTTGCATGAGCTTTCTGTCTCTCTACATTTTGATATATAGTACTTTTTGAATGTTGTTTATTGTGTACTAACTTTGCAATATTTCTAAAATAAGAGAATACAATAAATAATACATGATAATTATGGAATAATTTCTATTGATTTTTTATTGTCAGTGCCGCAACCCTGCCAATCACCATGAAGTGTCTTGAGGAGAACCTTGGCGTTGACTCGCGCATCACTCGCTTCGTGTTGCCAGTGGGAGCAACGGTTAATATGGATGGTACTGCGTTATACGAAGCTGTAGCCGCCATCTTTATTGCTCAGATGAATGGAATCCCATTGAATATGGGCAAAGTGATAACTATTAGGTAAACTGCAAAACAATCTTTGATGCTTTAAAAATTGACATGATGTTTTGATAGATCATAAATTAATGGCTCCCTCAATAAGGAATCCACATCGGGTCAAACTTGTGCCAATCACACATATGTCATATAAAACTATGAGCCCACATATTTTACTGCTTTCTGATCAAAATGTAAAAATCCTGATCTCTCTTGACTTACAATGCATGTTTGATTGTTATATTATTAAAGCATTATGATGATCATCAGCCATATTCATAAAATATTATTTATTATTTTATATAAATTATGATAATATTTACATATTTATAAATAGGTTATTATGTTAATATATGAATATTATTGCATTACAATTTTGAGCTACAATACACCACTATGTGGGGCTTGCATTCATTTAGCTCATGGATACTTATAAAATATCTTATAAGTTGTGAATATTAATTACATATCTTTAAATTTATGATTATCAATTTCATATTAAATTATCACATATGATATGTATGGTTTTAAGTCTGGCACCAAAACAATTTTGTATATTTGTGGGATTATATATTGTGTGAGGATAACATACTCCAAGTATCGATACTTGAAGTATGTATTATTCTATCTTATCTGAGATTAAACATGGTATAATAAGCTTTTGATTGACGTGCCAACTGCCTGCAGTCTGGTGCACCTTAATGACCCATACCCATTGTTAGATATTTTTTTAGGATCAAATAATATTCCATCATCAGTAAATTTAAATTGATTTCAGCTTGACTGCTACCCTGGCATCAATAGGGGCTGCAAGTGTACCTAGCGCCGGTCTCATCACCCTCTTGCTCGTCCTGGCTGCTGTAGGAGTACCTGCAGAAGATGTTGGCCTCATTTTCCTTGTCGATTGGTTCCTGTATGTTAAAATTCCTTCTATTTTCTTATTATTTACTTTAAAGTATAAGCTGTATTCATTATATGTGGCAAAGACAAGCCAAACCAGTTACTCCTTGAAAAAATTTATTTTTAGTTATTATTGCAGGGTTCAGTAAAATGAAAGTTTAAAATGGTAAAAGAATCATTTAAATCCGACATATCGTTATGCAATTACAGGAATTTAAACATACAGCTGTTTAAAGAACAGTATTTGAAAACAATCCGCCTTTAAAGTTTACAATTTCGGCCATTCTCAGACTGAGACCATCACCAAATCATTAAAAAATGTTGTTTTAACGTCAAAAATAACAACATAGCATGACGTAGAGATATATAAAGATTAGTTTAGTGAATAGATTATAACAATTTTGACATTCCAGCATGTTTTGGCCATTATCTCTGAAACACGATTTGCGAGGAGTGACTGGTTTAGAAATCCTTGCTACATATGTCTATTAATGTGGTTTAAAAGAGTAGATACGTATAGATTTTATTTCACAGATATGTATTGCATTATTAGTTTTGCACATAATGTATTCTTCTGATACATGATAATTTTATGTGCGAATGCTTGTTTGTTTTTTTCAGCATGGCAGCCATTTTTTTTAAATTACCAATTGTCAAAACAATTGATTGACAAAATGGAAAATTTTAAAATTACGAACAATTAACTTGAGCTCTTAAGATTTTGCAGGAGTTAAATTCAATCAATTTTATAATTTCTGTCCAATTGAACTATTTTCCACTGGAATATATCATACTATGAACAATGCAGTTTTTGAAAATATATGTTTTTTTTTATATATTAAACTAAAAATATTCTCCAAATTGGTAGTGATATCTATTGATTAATTGGTTATATCTTGATTGATGATTCACCAAAAGTTTTCTGAAATACTCATTATAAAATGTTGTATGTACCTCTGAACCATGTCAGGGCCGGACGTGGAAATGTTATGCTTCATCCTTCAAAATCCCACAGGGGTATTTGAGTGTGCAGCTTGCGGATTGCTTCGGTTCCCATTGTTGAAACATATTTAAATCATGATAGATGGATAAACCTTGACAACAGAGCATTGGCATTGCAGGCCGACTGCAAACTTAATTTCCCTCAGCATAGAGCATTAGGCAAATCCTCCCATACGTGTCGAGTTTGATTACTTTTATACACACATGTAAAACTCTATGAAAATGTTGTTTGCGTTAATGCATCAATTGGGAAATTATTATGGTATATCATCCACCTGTTCTGTGAAGCTATTAGTAGAGTAGTTGAGTTTTATAAGGAAAAATAACCCAGAATATGAGACCTTTGTTTTTACAGTTATAATGGATTCTATATATTTTATATATTGTTTGAATGAGCTGTAATGTTTTGAGAAT